GGGAAGTTCCATTATGATATGTCACATAAAATGAATGCTTTCTTAGTATGGAGTGGTAAACATGATGCCATGATAAAGTGTTGGACGAGACATAGGAAAATATGGCGGTGTTCCGTATAACTTGAGTTTTGATAGTTCATGCTAGGAGAAATGGAGGACAATGGTGTTGTGAGGGTTGCACAAACTAATGACTGTGTAGTTACTGTTGGAAGTAATTTTTATTCAGAAGTTGTTAGAATCAGAAGCTTCTGATGTTGTTAGTCAGAAGCAGTGTTACTCAGAAGTAGTAAAGTTTATGAGTTTGTTAGTCAAAAACAGAAGCTTCTGAGGTTACACCTAGAAGTATGTTTAGCTTCTGAGGTTCTAGTTCTTTTGTTAGCGTAGCTGTTAAGTTTAGTTTGCTTAGTTATTAAGTTTACCTTTTGTTAGGACCTACATGACAATTTACTTTGTGTATAAATAGACTAGTGGTAGCTGTCATAAAAATGTATAATCATTCTTCCTTACAACTATATAGCGGTCATTGCAGAGCTTTAATATTATGCTCTCATGCCTTTCTTTATTTATTAACCTTTTGCACTAACAATTGGTATCTAGAGTTTCGGTTCTGATTCACGGGAAACACAAGTGAAACGGTGAGACGTTGTGTGATTGATTTTGGTTCTTGAATTCATGTTGAATCTTGAACAAAATCTGAACAGAATCACATTTTCTGATTCTGTGGAATTGGGAAACACTGTTTGTGAGATCTGAGTGACTTGCACAAGGTTGAAGATGACCAAAAATGATAGTCTAAGCCCCAAGCTTCTAGTATTTAATGGCAAAAACTAGAATCGTTGAATGATTCAGATGCGTGTGTTATTTGGCGCTCAAGATGTTCTTGATCTCGTCAATGATGGTTATGTTCCAGTTGCAGCAGATGCGACAGAGGAACAAAGAAAGGCACAAAGAGATACAAGGAAGAAAGATTAGAAGGAGTTGTTCTTTATCCATCGGTGTGTGTATGAGAATGTGTTTGAGAAAATTGTTGATTTGACGATGGCAAAGGCTGCGTGGGACACTTTGAGTAGGTGTTACGGTGGTGAAGCATCAGTGAAGAAGGTGAAGCTTCAGTCTCTCAGAAAGTAGTATGAGAATCTAAACATGAATGACAACGAGAAGGTTTCTGAGTACATCTCTAGAGTGATTCTGATCACTAATGAGATGAAAGCTTGTGGATAAACCATTTCTGAACAAGTAATCATTGAGAAGATATTGAGGTCTTTTACCCCTCAATTTGATTACATTATTGTAGAAATTGAACATTCTAAAGATTTGGACACCATGAGAATAAAAGAGTTGCAAAGAAGTCTAGAGGCGCAAGAGTTGTGTATGGCAAGGAAATTATGAGAGGGAAGTTGAGCAGGCTCTGAAAGCTTCTTTTGTCAAGAAAGATCAGAAGCAAAATAGACGTGGTGATAGATTCCATAAGTCAAAAACTTCTACTTCTGATGAGAAGATACATCAGAAGGGTAAGGAGAAGTTTAACAAGAAGAGGGTTCAATGTTATTGTTGTAAGCAGTTTGGCCATTTTGCTAAAGATTGTTGGTCAAATAAGGGAAAGAGATAAGAAGAAGCAAATATATCCAAAGGAGATTCTGATGATGAACCTGTGCTATTGATGGCTTATGAGTCTGATGAGGAATCAATGCAATTGTCATTTTCTAATTATGAAGGGGAAGAAGATAACTCTGAATATTCTGACTCTGAAAGAGTGTTTAAATATGAGTCAGAATCAGAAGAGGACGCTGAAGATTCTAAAGATGAGTCAGAATCTGAAGTTTCTGAAGACAAGTTAGAGTCATAAGATGACTCTGAAGCTGAAGACAAGTCGGAATACGAAGGTGATTCTGAGTATGAAGAAGAATCAGAAGATGAGTCAGAATCTGAAGAAGATTCAGCTTCTGAAGATGAATCAAAACCCCGAGGTTATGAAGATGAGTAAGAACTTGATAGTTATGAAGAAGAGCTAGAGTTAGAAGATAAAGAATCTTCTGGAGACTCTAAAGATGAGTCAGATGGTGAATATGATTCTGATCCAGATTTTGAATCTGATGGTGATCATGCTTCTGGAAGGGAAAACTCTGAAGATGTAGGTTCTGGAGGACAAGCTTCTATAGATGATCATGTTTCTGGTGGTAATCATGACTCTGAATGAGGATATTTTGAAGAAGGAGCTTCTGAAGATAGTTTAGCCTCCAACGATGGTCATGATTCTGAAGGTGGAACTTCTGAAGGCAGAGCTTCTGAAAGCGATCCAACTTTTGAAGATGGTACTTTTGAAGGTAGTGGTTCTGGACAAAGTTCAGAAGCTAACAAAGGTGGAGCTTCTGGTGGTAGTCGAATTTCTGAAGAAAGTCTGGAAGGAGATTCTATTACAGAATCAGAAGGAGGTTCTGAACAAGTCCAGAGATCACAAAGAAACAAGACTTGGAAGTTAACTGAGCTTCCAAAAGAGAAGATGAAAATGCTATTGTTGAGGGATGGAGCACTCCCTCGCGATGGACTCTCAGGAACCAGATCCACGGGATCAGGCGCAACATCCTGGGCCTCTCCTATCTGGACCTAACGAATTGCAGTTTGTACCCCCAGTTTTGCTTAAACAACTTCAGGCCCACTTTTCTTTATTTTATTTATTTTAGATTTATTTAATTAATTGTTTTATTTTTATTTTTTAAAACCATTTTTTTATTTTTATTCTATGATAAAAATCAGAAAAATCACATTAATAGACTTAGGGTTTTTTCTAATTAACTTTAATTTTTGTAATTTAATTATTTAATTTATTTAATTTACTTTGATTAATTTAAAACCAATTAGAATTAGGTTTATCAATTTCAAGTCTTTTTCCAAATAAAAATCCAAAAAAATGTTATGATTAGTTTCCTCTTGATTAATTTTAATTGCATTTTATCACCTTTTATTTAATTAAAATTAGTTTTAATTCAATTTAAATATTTTCTTAACAAAAAATGTGCTAAGTATATAGAAGTATTTTAGGGTTTACCTCGCTCTTCATATTCGCGTGCCCATTTTAAATTTCGCTTCATTTTATATTGATGTATCTGCAAAAAGGTTGTAATAGTTAAACTTAAGACTTTTTACTTTTGGTTTCCCCATTTTGGATTTATAATTCCCCCTCCCAAAGGCCATGTAATAGCGTAGATTCAATTTCCGTATTTTTATTTTTTTGTACATATATTAACTGTTAGTTGTATGTTAATAGGATTGCATGATAAGACTAAAAGTAAACGTTAACAAACCTAATATCCAAGACAAATAATTGAAACACAACACACTCGTACACACGCACCTCTAAGGTTTTCCCACTTGTTGTCTTCGGAATAAACAGTCACGATTCTCGAATATAAGAGATTTTAGTGGCTACCCTTTGATTTAAAAGATCATAAGTCCCTCGATGACCCTTTCGACGTTGCCTCGGTAAAATGATCTTAAAATCCTAGGGTAATTACTAAGATATCTTACTAGTTGCCTTTGTGACCGTAAGATGACCCTCGCTAGTCCCTCAAAACATCTGACGATAGGGCTGCCTACTCAATAATAGTAGGATAGCACCGTCTAAAGGAAAAGAGGAAAAAAAACAAACCTTTCAAGTAAGTAGATAGCTCCTAGTTGCTTGCTCAAACAAAACAATTTCACACACATACACAAACTATTTTCTAAATATTTTCAAAAGCAAAAAAAATATTTTGTATACGTTCTCGCCGAAACGAGAAACATTACAAAGTTCGCCATACTAAGGGCCCGTAGATAACAGATGAAAAGGGTGCTAACATCTTCCCTTTCCATAACTTATCCCCCTTACTCAGAAAATAATCTCGAAAGGTCTTTCTTGTTCTTTTCACCCTTTCCTTTGTTGGATAAAAGAAAAGCCGGTGACGACTCTTGCTAACCACAACATTTGCGAATAAAAATGCAAAATCAGTAAAAGTCATTTCTCCCACCGTGTTACACCATAAAACTAGAAGAATTTTTTTTCACCTGAGAGTTTTCTTGCTGGTCTCTAACAAAATTCTAAAAATATTTCTTATTTTTGAATATATATTTTCAAACAGGCCTAATTTCACAAAAATTTGAAAAATAATATTTTTCAAATATGTATATCTAAATAATTCTTTTTTACGAAAAAAATGATTTCGAATATATATTTCCAAATTTTACTATGTTATAAAAATTTACAAATATAACTAAAAATCAAATAAAATTAAATTTAGTGTCTATAAATTTTTTAGAATTTTAGGGTGGGATTCCATATTTTGTGTCAGAATAGGGGATTTTGATTTTTGATTTTTTCTGAATGTATTGATATTGTAAAATTTTAATTCAGAATCGATTTTCTAAAATATTGAGATTTTTACGTTAAGTTACGTAAAAGGCAGAGACACGGAAATGCAAGGTCTAAAACACCGAGATTATTTAGTTACATTTTATTTTATTATACAATATAGCAATTAATACAATTGATACACCTTGATTCTAATTTATACCAAATATTAAAATATTTCGGATATGCATATCCGAAAATCTTTAAAAATAAAATATGTGAAAACCTCTGAAACTAAATATGAAATACGTTCGGATATGCATATTCGAAAGATATTTTCGAATTTTAAGAAGTTTAACTAAACATATAGAGATGGACAAAACAATTCTCTAAAATTAGAGTTCACAAAATGGACCGGATCTGATCGGGCATATTCAAAAACCGCAAAAGTGAAGGCCTTGGATGAGAAAGTTAAGGCCCATAGATATATACTTCTACATGCATATGGACAAGATAGATATAAACTTATTATACTAGTCATTAATAATAAGAAATTTATTTTGGTTCACACAATCAATCCACTAGTCGCTAATAATAAGTCTTGTGAAGCTGCACTGTCGTCTACCTTGCATTGCATATTCTTTCTGAAACTATTCTTACTCTGTTGAACGAAGTCATGGAGGCTATTGTTGGAGGAGCACTTCTTTCGGCTTCTATGGAGATGTTGGTGAAAAAGGTTGTTTCTGGTGAGTTTCTTGATTTGTTTAGGAGGACTAAGCTTGACGTTGACCTGTTGGAGAAGCTGGAGATAACACTGCTGAGCCTTCAATCTGTACTTCATGATGCTGAGGACAAACAGATCGCTAACCCTGCTGTCAAGAAGTGGCTGGAGATGTTGCAAGATGCTGTATTTGAAGCTGACTATCTCTTCGACGAACTCAACACCCAAGCTTTAAGGTGCCAAGCTGAAGGTGGTCAGGTTCTTAATAAGTTTTTGTCTTATTTTAAAAGGTTTAATAAAAAGATCAATTCTAAACTGCAAAAATTATTCGGAAGATTAGAACATTTAAAAGACCAAAATCTTGGATTGAAAGAAGGTGATTCCAACTGTGTTTGGAATGCAACTCCTACAAGTCCTTTTTTGGGAGATGAATCTGCTATTTATGGCAGAGATGATGACAGAAAGAAACTTGAAGAGTTTTTGCTGTTAGAGTATGGTTGTGATAGTGGAAGTAAAATAGGAGTGATTTCCATTGTGGGTATGGGAGGGTTAGGAAAAACAACACTAGCTAAACTCCTTTATAATGATCCTCGTGTGAAGGAGATGTTTGAAGTCGAAGGATGGGCACATATTCCAAAAGATTTCAATGTCGCCACCGTCACTAAAACCATTCTTGAGTCTGTCACCCTAGATACATCTACAGACACTAACTTACTTAAACTCCAAGTTCAATTGCAGCAAAGCTTAAGTAACAAAAAGTTTTTACTAGTGTTGGATGATATGTGGTATGGAAACTATGTTGGTTGGAATAGTCTAATTGATATCTTTAATGTTGGCCAAAATGGGAGTAAGATCATCATCACAACTCGCGATGAAAGAGTTGTATTACCCACGCTAAAATATCTCTGTGTCCACCATTTGAGATCTTTGGAAACCGAAGACTCATGGTCTTTACTGGCCAGACATGCATTTGTAGAAACAAACTACCAACAACATCCCAATCTAGAAATAATTGGTAGAGAAATTGCCAAAAAGTGTGGCGGCTTACCATTAGCTGCAGTAGCATTGGGGGGTATTCTTCGCACCAATTTGTCACAAGATCATTGGAATGATGTATTAAACAATAGTATTTGGGAAAATACAAATGATGAGGTGCAACCAGCTCTGCTACTGAGCTATCGGTTTCTTCCAGCTTTTTTAAAAGGATGCTTTGCTTATTGTTCAATTTTTCCAAAGAACTCAATCTTAGTGAAAAAGAGGGTGGTTCAGTTGTGGATTGCAGAGGGCTTAGTACCTCGGCCCGAAAGTGAGAAAAATTGGGAAAAAGTAGCAGAAAAATACTTCGATGAACTAGTGTCAAGGTCTCTGATACGTCAACGGTTCCTTGATCATGAGGAAAACAACTTTGAAATGCACGATCTCATCAATGATTTAGCTATGACAGTTTCATCTCCATATTGCACTAAGTTAGACAATGATAAGCCAAGTGAAAGAGTAGATAAAAGGGTGCGGCACTTGTCATACAACAAATCAGTATATGAACCCGAAGATAAATTTGATGAATTACATGGATTAAAAGGTTTACGAACCTTTCTAGCCACACCATTAGGGTATTCTAAGAATCCCATTTCATTGAAGTTATTTTCTGACTTGTTGTCGACAATGACACAATTACACGTGTTGTCGCTTTCATACTGCACAAATATCGTTGAGTTGCCCAAATCTATTGGAAATTTGATATGTCTGCGATACTTGAATCTCTCTTACACTCGGATTAAAAGGTTGCCTTCAGAAACATGCAAGCTTTACAATTTGCAGACTTTGTTGTTGACAAAATGCGTGGAACTTACTAAATTGCCAAAGGACATGGGGAAATTGGTGAAACTACGCCACCTTGATATTAGAGGCACTGAATTGAAGAAAATGCCGGCACAGATATCCAAATTAGAAAATCTACAGACATTGTCGGACTTTATTGTGAGCAGCGTTAAGGAAGTAGGGTTGAAGATTGAGGATCTTGGAAAATATCCTCATCTATCAGGAAGCCTTTGCATCTCGCAACTTGAAAATGTAACTGACCCATCCCATGCTTCTCAAGCAAACTTGGAGATGAAAAAGGAAATTGATAAGTTGAAACTAGGATGGTCTTACATTACTCCTTTAAACTCAGAAATACAAAATGTCGTATTGGAACGTCTGCGCCCATCGACGAATTTGAAGAGTCTGGCCATCTTTGGATATGGAGGAGACAGATTACCAAATTGGATGATTTGTCTGAATTCTCTTCAAAAGATGACCTTAAAAAATATTCCATCTCTAACATCCTTTCCGAGCGACTGTCTTCCCAAAACCTTACAATATCTCAACATAGAGGGTTGTGATTCATTTACATCATTTACTCTGTGCTCTCTCCCTGTCCTCAAAATTCTAAGTATTGTTTGTTGTAAACTTCTAAAATCCATATTAATTGCAGAAGATGCATCGAAACAGAATCTCTTGTTTCTTAGAACCATCGATATAACTGATTGCAATGATTTGGAGTCGGTTTCTCTGATTGGATTGCCTATTCCTAACCTCACTGATTTAAGTGTTAATGGGTGTGAGAAGTTACGTTCTCTACCTGAATCAATAAAGACTCTAACGAGCCTTCAAATAATGAAAATTGTTGACCTTCCAAATCTGCAATCGTTCTCCATACATGATTTGCCTATCAGTCTACGATACTTGTCGATTGGCGAGGTTGGAGGGATTTGGTGGAATACAACTTGGGAACATCTCACTTCTCTTTCAATGCTGGATACTTGGGGTGATGATATTGTGAAGGGGCTGATTGAAAGGCAAGTTCCGTTTCTACCCACTAATCTCGTTTCCTTACATATCTATTGCCTTGAAGATGTGGAATGCTTGGATGGGAAGTGGCTTCAACATCTCACCTCTCTCCATAAACTTGAGATTTGTATGTCACCAAAGCTCAAGTCGTTGCCAGAAAAGGGGGATTTGCCTTCCTCTCTTAAACAACTGCATATCCATTATTGTCCATTATTGGAACCAAATTTGAAGATGAAGCAAGGGAAAGAGTGGCTTAAGATTTCTCACATTCCCCAAATATATGTAAACCAAATCATCGACTGAGTATTATTACATCAAGGTGAGTCACCAAAATACTTATTTCATGTTATAAATCTCAATATCATGATTTAATATTGTTATTTTATTAGCTGTCAATCCCCGTCATGGATTTCCATTAAACTCTTTGTTTCAGATATTTAATTTACTGGAAACTATTAAAACAATGTTTTTGATATCCCAAGTTCAATAGAATAATGTTAATCTGCAAAACTGGTTGGGAATTTGATTAATCTGCCTCAGTTTAGAGATCATGCTTTGATGGATGAACTTTTAATCTGTAACCAAACTGGTTGTGAACAATGAATCATAGCTTAATATGTTCAGGGTCATATGGTGTGTCTTCTTTGAGCTTCTTATATGGACCTCACAAACAAATTACTTTGGAAATTTTAAAACATGTGTTTTTGTCCTAGTAAGTTACAATGCTTTTGATGCTGGTGTGTAGATGAATTTCAATCCCAACTTTCAAAGCAGGGAAGTATTCAAGAAAAAGTACTTCTATGACTCGCATGCCATGACTGTAAGTGTCCCTAAATTAGTACTATGAATATTGGTGCATGTTGTTTCTATTCATTTTAAAGCCAAATTATGTTCCTATAACAGGGCTTCCTCAACATTGTCCTGCATGGCTTGGGATAGCTAGTACTTTTCCAGAAGAGGTGAAAAATCATGCCCCAACTGCAGTTCATATGGAATGTTGGATGGAAAGTGGCTTCAACATGGTTGCAACTTGAGTATCATCTCATCATGATTATAGATTATGAATTGATCATATTCACACGAGTATCATCTCTTAGTGAGTTGCTTTCATCCTCTTGCAACTATGTGTCTCAATTTTCTAATTTTGTTTCACTTGCATGCGAGTTTTTTAATTGTTCTTCTGTTAATATTTACAATGATGCATGTATAAAAATTGATATTTTTTTCGCTGTCAATAGAATCATGAGGGCATTGTGGTTACTATATTTTTTTATGGAAAAAAAAAAGAAAAAGAAGAGAGAAGTGAATATATGAACCAAAACTAGTTAGCTAAATTCTTATGTGTGGTCTAACATGGATTGTTTGGTTATCTTGTTGCAATGTTTTATTGTTTTAAGATTTTTTTCATTATGTTCATTATGGGATTGATAGTTTTTTCTAACAAGATATTTTTATTCAGAAGATAGATTCTAAGATGATGGAGATTCTACAAGAGCAAATTACAAAGCTAGAGACAAAACAATTGTATGTGTTTTCTCAATCTGTTTTGCATTACCACTTTTCTTTTTCTATTGTCTACCACTTACTTATAAATGATTTTCTGCTTAATAAAGGGCTATCTTTTGTCCAACTTCACTATCTTAATGTCACTTAGAAAACATTGGCAAACTCCATCATTCATTCTTAAGTTTATTTGCTTCTGGTTATCACTTGGTTCTATTATAATGTTAGGTTTGTGTTTGTTCAACTGGAGGTAGATTCATCCAATAGTTTTTTCTTCAAATTTAAATGATGTCTAGAAGAGAGATCATTCACATCAGTCAAGACGCAGAAGAGAGCTATCTTGGAAAGACTCAAGAGTTTAGTTGAGCATAGCAACAACTTTACCTAGTTTTGTCAGAAAAACTACAACACCATCCTTTTTATTGATTTTGTTTAGTGATAAGTGAATTGGATTGCTCGACTTCAGCTGCATTGATAAATTGTAACCTGTAAAATATAAATTTGATTAATACAATGGAACTGCAGCTGCTCTGCAGTCAGAGACGTAGGCACGATTGGCCAAACTTCGTTACCAAATATCACGTGTTCTCTTTATGATTTTTTTCGTATTTGTTTTGTTTTGAATTGGAATTGTTGTTCTAACAATTCAAAGACATTGAATTTCGAACCCCTTTCTTGAGCTGTAAAGATGTCATGAGTTCAGCAGAAGTATATCACAATAAAATGATAATTAAGTTGCTGAAAACTTTGATGAAGATATGGCAAACATGTGTTTATTGATGCAGCATATATGCTGCCATGATAAACTTGAGTAACACTTGCTTAGGCACAAATTTTAGACATAAGATTTAGGCACACACTCATACAAAAAGTACAATACAAAATTAAACAATAAAATAATGTATCTTTTCAAAATAATTAAGTCATATATTATTTATATGTGTGTGCCCAAATAAATATTATTTGTGTTTGTGTCTAAGCAAGTATTATTCGATAAAGTTCTGGAGAGGACATCTAGGAAACATGTTTTTTGTTCATACATATTACCTTACATCTGCCTAATTTTATTATAAATTCTCGTATTAAATTAATGTAGACACGTTTGTATTTGGTTGGTATTTGAACCAAGCTTTGTCAAGAGTGTGGACCATGCTGATTTTTATAAAAGTAAAGTTAACCAAATTTAAATCATAAAAAATATTTATTCAATACGGCTCTGCGAATAGAATAGATATAAACTTATGTGTTTGTAGGATAGTTTAAAAAAAATTGTGAAACTAAGTTTGAGTTTTTTAGTATGAAATTAGTTAAATACGATACTTTAAATGGAAGAGACTTGAAATTTAAATTGCACGAATAAAAATAATTTTTGAAATTTTGTTCGATTAGTAATAAGATATCACACATAATGTTCAAACAATGTATGAACGTAATATTGAGACAATGTATGAGGCAATATGATCTGAAAGAGGTAGGTATGAACAAACAAACAAAAGTAAAATTAATATTACAAATAATTGATAATTTTATTCGGTGCAATGTCACCATTGTTTAGAGGGTTGTAATCTAAAGGAAAAAAATTCATACATTCAAGTAGTTAATACCACACTACAGTTTCATTTGAACCCTCCCAATTCAGTATTATTTTTCTAATACTACCAGTGATTATCAACTCATGCCTAACCATGCCGCCTTAACTTTCTTCTTCCCAACATGTCCGACGACAACAACTCCTCCTCCTCTCCTACTAAAACCCGACCTCCTCTCTCAAGTCAGTCACCACGTGTTAGTCTAGAAATTCTGGCTAATGAGAAGTCAACGAATAAAGTTAAGTATATGTTTTGGAAAACTCTAAGTGTCGAGAAGGTTTAATTGCAATGCTTCGACAGGTTAACTATGTTAACTAAAGTGCTTCGACCAACATAGCAAACACAGTTTGAAGGAATCTCAGGAGATTATCCACAAGATTAGGCTCACTCGCTCTTTCAGACATGTTGAAAAGCTTCGACAAAGGACTACATGAAGGCACCTTTCGACCCCATGTGGAAGGCACTTAATGCCAAAGACTTAGAATATTCTAAGGTTCAAGAGTTAAAGAAGTTTAGAAGCATGTCGAAGACTATTACAAGCACCTTCGATGAGAAGTCAGTTGATCAGTTTCGAAATTGTCATGAACATGAGAGAGTGGTTTCCAGCGGTTATCACCTTGACAACGCGGGAGCGTTTCAGAAGACGAAGGACGTGTTTGTGACACATGTTCGCTAATTACGAATAAAACTGTTGGAGACAATTATCATTAGTTTATTATAAATACCAAACTTGTACACTGTATCAAAGGTTGCAAATTTCATATATCTCTCTATCAAACTGGATTACCCGAGCCAAATTGTGAAATAGTCTGTGAGTGAAATATATGAGTCAGTGTCTCTGTCATCTATGTTTTCCTGTTTCCTTAATTGAAACACCAGCTTTTGATGTCATTTATTATATTTTTCACATATTTTACATTCTAAAGCTTTATTTTATTTAAAGTTTGTCTTTTTCTTTCTCTACAATAGTCAATTACACTAAATCTGAAACACACTTTCTTGAAATACATCCTTTGCACAGATTGATGCTGGAAGCGGTAAAGCGGCAAGCAAAAAGTAAGTTATTAATTTATCGGGTGATATTTAGGTTATATCGTATCGTGTCCACAGAGATTGGTGTATTGAAATGTCGTTTGAAAAATCTATCAATAATGAGTTTGGGGGTTGAATGGGTTGTATGGAAAAGGTATACAAAAATTAATTGTAAACGAAAACTATAAATGATAGACAACTTATCCGGTACGAATGTACACTACTCGTCACAAACTTAAATATATCGTCCAGTTATACTCAACCTACGATACTAGTCTATGTCATCACATACCACTCACAACCTAAGTCATTTCTAACCCAAATTGAGAGGCCTGATGTATCACCTCGGTAACGATCTCTCAACCACCTCAACAACACAGAAGTCAACCGTGCTAATCGCGTCGACGATCTCTCAGAGTGACACAAATAACACAGAGGCATTAATCACATATACCCGAATGAATGTCAGCTCTAAATCTATCTCTAGAATCCAGAAACTAACAAATAATCATCCTAGATAAGAATTCGAGCAGTATATATCTATAACAACCCAAATCCCTGACATAGTAAAAATCCAGGACAATAATCAACAAAGATTCGTAAAGCAAGTTTTATATAATGCCAAGGGCGGCAAATATACACGAGTTTAAAGAGAATATACATACATATCCAACAAAAGAGAAATACAAAGAGAGGAGAAGAGATAAACCATAAATCTTTCGGTTTATCAGTGCCGATTGATGAGATATCCACCTCCAATCATCCATAAGCAAGGCCCTAATGTTGTTTTCTAAGCTAATCTATCAAAAATGAAGGTTGATGGAGTTGGGAGCAAAAAATTCCCCAAAACCATAACATGAAATTGAACTAAATCTATTTTTATAAAACTCAACTCAGCAGACCGCGCTAAGAGGGCTGATCTCACTAAGCGGCCTGCGTGATATTTACACACTAAACCAACCTAAATCCTGCTAAGCGGCCTGATCCCACTAAGCGACATCATCAACACAGCTTCTGCAAAATCTGTCAAAACACTCGTAGCGCGCTACAACTTTCGCTTAGTGCGCCTGCTGTTGTACCCCAAAATTTTCCCTCTCATTTTATCAACATTTCTCATCACAAGGCTCTTGGAATTCCAGATCAAGCTAGGGTTTGCTCTGCTCAAGACACCTCCTTGCACTGTTGACCTAAATTAGGGTTTGAATTTGCACAAGGATTTTTGGACCCTCAATGCTCAAATTGACTTTCATACTTCATGTTGGACTCATAAGTTTTCCCATACCAAGTTTCAAGTCTTGAATCAAATTTTTGCCCAGTCAATTGGACAATTGACCTAGAAATCAGTTGTATTGGGGAAAAAGTCATTTGTGGCCAATTTACAGTCAAACCTCATGAATTTTGATCCACATCAATATTATGAACTCATATGAACCATTTTATCAAGTTTGGACCACAAATCCACAAGAAATTTGATCAGATCACCAAAAGGGCAAAATGGTCATTTTTAGGGTTTTGACTGCACAAAGGCAATTTTTGGCTGTTTGACCTAGCCAATGGCAAATTAAGCTCAACCATGGATTCAAGGACTCAAGGGCATCATCTTGACTTATTCAACAAGTTCAAAAGGTCTCAATTGCATGGGATTGACAGATGAATTTTTCAGTCAACTGATCAAAATTTGACTGTACACTGAAAAGTCAAACTTTGACTTTTTGGTCAAAAATCAAGTGCCAAGGGTCATTTTTCATCAAGATGTGTCAAATTATGAAACTTGTTCATCAAGAAACCCAAATTTGCAAATTAGGGTTTGAAATTGAAAAAATTTCATAACTTAGAAATTTTCTAAGTTATGAAATTTTCTTAATTTTTCCTAACTTTGTCCCACATTTTCACCATGATGCAAATGGATTCAAACAAAACTTACAACATGAAAGTTATATTCCTCACAAAGTCTACAACTTTGATTCACAAAGTTTTATCAAAAGAAGCTTGGATCTCAAGTTATGATTTTTGGAACAAGGGTCCCTAAAACTTTTAACTTAGAGAAATTTTGCCCTAATTTAGGCAGGATTTTGACCCATCTTCTTGGCCATTTTTCACATAGTTCCACTTGGATTCTCAAGTTTCATTTCAAATATGGATTATAGAGCATGTTGCAAGCT